TTCCTTTCCCCATAACCCAGCCCCCTCGCCCACCTCCACCTCCCACCCCTCACGCAATACTGCGATGAGGCCACGTTTTGAAACTAACTGTCCCAAAGTGAACTTGAAAAGTGTTCCCTGGGGACAGGGACAAATATGGAACTTAGCAGGATAGGAAGGAGGGGAGGGTGCCTCATGCAGGGAGAGATCTGGGGGCTCAGAGGAGCACAGGCCAAAAAGTGAATCAAAGGCTCTAGCTTGAGATGGAAGGAGAAGGAATATGTCTACAGATTTCACACCCCCCCCCCATACCAAAATGCATCCGGTCTCCATAGCAACCGTAGCTCCTAGAGTGCCTCAGAAACAGCGGGGATAAGCGGAGAGGAGGGATTGGTGTGTATGGTGTGTATGTGTGTGTGTGTGTGGGGGGGGTCCGTCATGAGATTTGGGGTTCATAGAGGCACCACTCTCATATCTGGTTACCCACATATAGGTTATTTAGCGCCCCCGAATATAAGGAGCCCCGCAGTTGAGAAGTGAGAGCAGGCTTCTTTCGGGTTCCCATTAAATCTCCTGAGGTTTTTGGGGTGATGCTCTTTCAGAAGGTTAAAGAGGAGATAAAAAGAACGGAAAACCTCTGCTCTGTATCTCCCACCTCTTTACTCTAGGGACCCTGGAGTCCAAGGCTCACTGTCTTCAAGTCCGGCAGGATAAAGGGGTTAGGCCTATGGGGAACAGAGGTCCAGACCCGGCAGAGGTGGGGGGAGTTGGGCGAGGCCTCCCTGCAGCCTTGGAGACCCCATCGCTGGACTCAGGTAGTCTCTGCGTTTCCCTAATTTGGCGTTCCATCCTCCTGACGCAGCCGAGACTATAATAGTGCTGTCGTGGGTGGCTCTTGGAGGCAGGAGCCGCGGCTTGCACGGCCTGGTAGGGGTTGAGGGTGGGCGGCGGTACCAGAATGCTGGGTGCCCTTTGTTTTCCTCTACCCCTTGTACCCAATCCTTCCTCGGGCCTGTCCAGAGGTCAGTAGCCTCTCTGCCCGCCCTTTGCCCCATCCCGCTCCCGCAGCTCCAGGATGACACCATCCCCAGGATAGGAGACCCTTCAGTAGTCTTTTCTGAAAGAGAGTGAAGGAAATTTGTTGATTCTGGCTTTTTTATCCTTCCATCGATAGCCTCAGTTTTTCTTTATAATCAAAAGGAACAGAATCCTGACTCTTGCGGCAAGAGTGGTACAAATCACCTATGAAGAGAGGAGCCTTCTCAGATATTTCAGCCTCTACCCCTCTCACTCCCTCCTTCTCCAGAGCTAAAAAGAGCTCCTCTACCTGGCCGAAACATTTTCCTTTCCCCACCCTTTTTTTTTCTACAGGGGTGGGGCTTGGAGTTCCTCCCTAGGAGGCCTCATGAGGCCACTCCCCCTAGGTCTGCTTCTTTAACAATTAATGCTGTAGGGAAGGTGTCAGCTGTAATTCTTGGCGAAGGGTGGGGGACAGGAGGCACTAGACTCGGCAATGGGAAGAGTATCATCAGACTATTCCCTTAGGAACTGGAACAAAACTGGCCTTTACAAAAGTTATGCTCTGGTGGCCTTTACCATCAGAGAGATCTGGCAGCAGGTCTTCTTGACTGCCCCCATCTGCACTGGGAAGTAGGCAGCTAAGAATGGAGAGGCTGGAAGAGACCAAGATACAATGGAGGATGTGCTTCTCCCAGACACTTTTCATGAGCAAAGGAGACCGCTTTTGTTAGCTCTTTGCACCTCAGAGGTAATGAGATGAGAACAGTCTAGAGAGACCTCCAGTTCCATCAGTTCCTTGGTGGTGGTGCCTTGTGGATGGATGAGCGGTTCCAGCCAGGGCCCCACCACAGAATTGAAGCAGGGGTGGGCAGGAGGATGTGGCGGATGGTGTTGCCATGGCAGCACTTCCTTCCTGTACTGTCATCACTTGCCCTAATGGCACTAAGGAGGTAGAGCGGAAGGTGTGTGGGGGGAAGACAGGAACACGAGCATGGGGAAGAGAGAGAACAGAGAAGAGTCCTGGGGACTTCTCTGCACTTCAGCTGTACAGAGCACGCTGTGTGAATGTTAGTGTGTGCCTGGGAACCTGAGATTCTCTATGTGGTGATCTTAATGTGTGTACGTATTTGTGTGTGTGTTTCTCACTACAGCTGGAGAACAAGAGGTCACTGATCCCTCATGGGTCCTGGGAATGAACACATTATCCAGTCTCAGAACCTCCTGCCCCAGACTGTTTCCTGCCCTGGACTCCCCAGGCAGGGTCCAAGTCTACCATGGGTCTGTCACAGCCTATTTTCCCCATTCTCACTCACTTCTCCATTTCCAAGAAGGTCAACTCAGCAGTGACCTGTATTTTGATCCCCTGGGAGAAGGATCGGATTGGGGAAAGAGGAAGACTGACACTTCCCATGTCTTTTCCTATCTTTTCAAAATTTATTCTTCCCCCAAATCCCAGCTCCATCTTGGGGACTACTAGGAAGTGCTGATTGGGAAATGAGTATGACCCAGCAAACTCTTCTATGCCCCTGCTGGTCCCCGATACACCCAGGTTGGGAGCTAACCCTTCTCTTACCTTGTATGCTGTTCAGTGAGGCCTGGATGCTGTCCCGAAGTTCCGAGTCACCCACCCTCTCTGCCAGTTTCCTGAGGCGGCTTAGAGCCTGCTTGGCTACCTCATGTCGTTTGACTTCTGCTCTCACTGCAGCTACAGCCAACTGCCTTTGGGCATGCATGTTACCCAGACCTGTCTTGCCAGGCTAACAGCAACCTCTGGCCCTGAAGCCCATGGCCCCACAGCCCCCAAACCCCAGAAGGCCCCTTCTTCTGTGCCCCAGAACTCCCCGCCCCTGCCCGCCCTTCCGTCTGTCGGCCTCACTTCCTGACTGGTGAGTTTCAAACCCACAGCCTGGGACAGCACTACCTTCTGCACCTCCCACCCCCTCTAGCGTTGGTCCATCAGCTCTGCCAGCCAATCTCTGCTAAGATTCTCCAACCAGGTAGATGCAGAGACCTTAATAAACATCAAGCATCCTAGGGCCTCCTTTGGGAGGTGGCTAATTAAGATGGGTGTTGGTGCTGGGAGAATGTAGCAAGCCAGGTCCCAGGTGCAATCCTAAATTCTTGGTGACCTACAGATTTGTATTCAGTCTCAAACTCTCACAGGAATCCATACATACTTGGCCTGTCACTCTTATAGCCCTGCATTCCAGTTTATAGTTGTAATCACTACCCACTCTACATATCCAAAGAGTTTGAATCTTTATATCTTGCAATGTAACACTTCCTTGATTAGCTACCCCACTGCAACCACCTCCTAGTTAAAAGGGCCAAGCAGTTATGGGGAGAACAGGTTATGGAGAAGAACAGTAACCTATAACCAGGCAAAACCACCATTCTCCAGTTCACTTTCCTAATAATTAACTTGTCTATAACACAATAGTTTACAACACACCTTTATATATGTCATTCTCTTGATAGGCCTGAGGGGTAGGATTGATATCCCTAACCTGCAGCAAAGAAAACTGAAGCTCATGAAAGGTGAAAACAAAGATATGGCTCTAGATCTTCTGATTATAATTCTGATACCCTTTCAACACACCACCCACCCAAGATAATTGCCAACTAGTCCCCCTTAATCCTAATGCCATTGTCTTGCCCTTGATTTAAGACCTGAAAGAGAAGAGGGTGGATGAGGAATGAAGAACAGAACAAAGATGCAGGGAGCATGGGTGTTGGTGGATAGTTCGATCTAATTACTTTGTTTCATGACTCAAACCTTTCTGACTCTGCCAAATTGTCTCTTCTCCTGCATATATTTTTGATATTCATTTATGAAAAAGAGGGAATTATAACTATGTGAATATTCTGTAGTTGAAGATAAGGGAACTGAAGTTGAGATTACCCACTGGAACCTGTAAAACAGTCTGAACAATAACTAACAAACACTGAGTGTTTAATATGTGTCAGGTACTGTTCCAAGCATTCTACATATATTAACTCATTCAGTCTTCACAACAACCCAAGAGGTAGTTGTATTGTTATTTATCCCCATTTTACGGATGAGGAAACAGGCACAGAAAATTTAATTAATTGGCCAAAGGTTACACAGTTAGTGATTGGCAAAGTTGGAACCCATGTAGTCTGACTAGCAATGACTATATACTGCTTACGCAGTCATAGAATCCAAATACACACAGACATAATCATTCAGGGGGGTTCAAGGGAGGTTTCACTTGTGTTTCCACTAATATCGCTTCTTTCCCGTTTCCCATTCCCATAAAAAATGGCACTTATTCGATTATGTGTGTGTGTTTGTGTGTGTGTGTGCGTGTGTGAATGTGTATATATATATATATCGATCAACCAATCACTATGCCCACCCCAGAGTGAAAATGTGGAGACTCCTCCTTACTCTCAGATTTATTCCTGTTCCAGACCCTTTCCTTCATCATTTTTGCAAGCCCTGGTTCAGGCATGTGCTCTGAAGACACCAGGCACAGCCATGTCGGTACCTGTGGCTCTGTCACATACGGTAATACTCCGGCCAAGGCTGCTGTTTTACATTTACTATCTAGCATATTCACACCGTCGGGGGGGGGGGGGGGGGGGGATACGGAACAGGACCTGTGTAGGAGTGGACATACTTGCAAACGTATAAGGATTTGCTGGGTATTGCTGTGCCCAACACGGGGCCTCTGTGGCTGGGCTAAATAGCTCAATATTTTGCTCCTCTGGGTGTTTCCGAATGTGGTGCAGTAACAACAAATAATGGCGTCATCATGAGGTCACTGCAGGACAAGGGCAAAGGGCACTCCCTCTTGGGGAGAAACCCTTTCGCCTAGTCCGCCAAGTCGCACCTTCTTTCTCTTCACAGGAGTTTCCCCAGGGCCTCCTCCCCCAGATTAGCCTCTTCCAACAGGGTCCACGGAATCTTCGCTTTCAATCCGGGGTTTCGAAGTTTAGGCTCTGATCTCTACGAGAATCTTTGAAGCTCCGCCCCCAGTATTAAGTTTCATCCTATAAAGAACCTAAAGGAGGCCCGGGAGGCGGGTCAGTAACGCAATGCAAATTGATTGGCATTCAGACCGTAGACGTCCTGGATTAGCCCTGAGTTTCGCCAATCCAGAGGCAGGGGTGGGACGGTGCAGGCGCAGAGGACTGGGTTTGTGTGGACTAGATTTAAAGAGACAGAAGCTGTCGGGGGTCCAAGAAGTCTGTTCTTAAGACCCTCTCCCTAAGTCCTTGGGACCACTCGGGTCCCCAAAGCTGGGGAGATGGTTTGCGGCGGCTTTGCCTGCTCCAAGAATGCGCTGTGCGCGCTCAACGTGGTCTACATGGTGAGGTTTTGGAAGTGGGGGAAGCTTCAGGGCCGAAAGGCGAGTGGGGAGAATTTCCAGGGGACTTCCGGTGGGGAGAAGGGTGTACTGGATGTTCCAGTAAGAGTCCCAGGAACTTCCGGCGAAGAGGGAATTCCTGGGGACTTCCGTGAGAAGAGGGGACACTTCCGGTGATCTGACGGTTTGTTTGGGGGTGCGGGGAATGAACTAGGGGTTCTGAGCCTCCTTTTTGTGAACTTTTTTCTCCCAAAATAGAGCTATGATGAAGCTAAAGGTTCGGTTTTTATACTCATAGATTACAATCCCTGCCACCCTCTACCCCCAGCCCAGCCATTCTGACCTCCGATGGGAGGGATGTTCCAGGTCCCCATAGCACCTCCTCTCCTTTTTGTCCCGGGTGCCCTGTAAGGCCTTTGGCTGTGCTGTACGCTAGAATTCTGAGATGTATCCTGCTTTCTGTTTCCCGTAGCTGGTAGGCTTGTTGCTCATTGGAGTTGCTGCTTGGGGTAAGGGCCTGGGTCTGGTGTCCAGCATCCGTATCATCGGAGGAGTCATTGCTGTAGGAGTCTTCCTTCTTCTCATCGCGGTGGCTGGACTGGTGGGCGCTGTTAACCACCACCAAGTACTGCTCTTCTTTGTATCCTAACCTGAAGTGATGGGACACTAGGGCTCTTGGGAAGTCTGAGTGGGCTAGGAAGAAATTAGACCTCAGGGATCTTGGTGACATGTCTCTGCGCTGCTCTATGAAACCAGAGCTGATTTTATTGTTTTCAACTTACATGGTTGTGTAAGTCCTGTGAATAGATTAAATCAGAATGTTTTAGGTGGAACATAAAGGAATTTAGGACTTTTTCCCCATAACTCTTCCTCTCAGTACATGATCATCCTTGGTTTGGTCTTCATCTTCCAGTTTGGAATCTCTTGCTCATGTCTGGCCATTAACCGAAGCAAACAGGTAAGGGGATTCCCATTCAAGTACTTGCATTTTTTCTTTAACCTCTAACTGCCTCCTCTCAGTCTGCCTCCCAAAGTCATTCTTAGGTCACTTCCAAACTCTTGAGCCATTTGCTTCCTCCAGGATGTCTAACTAATTTTCCATGAAGATCTAAGAAAACCTGAGGTGGATATTTATCATTGGGTTTGTATAATTGTGATAGAACTTTTTTCCCCCTGAGGGATGCTGACTCCCTTTGCTGGAATAGGGAAATTGAGGCACTTGAACTGAGATCAAAATGTAGGGAGATGAAGGTTAGCAGCATCAAATTTTTCTCTGCCTATATATCCTCCAGACAGCTGTCATCAATGCTTCTTGGTGGGTCATGAGCAACAAGACCCGGGATGAACTGGAAAGAAGTTTGGATTGTTGTGGCTTATTCAACCTCACAACCCTGTATCAACAAGATTATGCTTTTTGCACTGCAGTGAGTTGGTGGGGAAGGGGTGGGTGGGTAGGAAAATTGGGTAAGGACAGTGCCCACTTTGGCAGCTTCGAGTTGGTATGTGATTGCCTCCCTAGCAGCTATCTTGTATTGGGGCTGTGTGCTGCTGTGTTGGGAGGGGGAATGGATATTGAGGCTAGAGAATTAGCCAAGTTGGATTTCAATCTGTAGGATACTGATCAAAATTAGTAAATAATTTATAGGGTCATTCACCAGAGGTGTCAGGATAGGGCATCTTAGCAACTCTGCATCCTGCACACACACTTTTTACACTAGATCTGCAAGAGCCGGAGGCCCACGTGCCAGATGTGTGGAGAAAAGTTTCTTAAGCATTCAGATGAAGCCCTGAAAATCCTGGGGGGTGTTGGACTCTTCTTTAGCTTTACAGAGGTAACATTTTCCAGTTCCTTCATATATACCCTTTCTCACCATCTATAAGTCTTAGTCCCAGAGATTCAGAATTGGTGATTATCTCTTTCCCTTTGCTTCTACAGATCCTTGGTGTCTGGCTTGCAATGAGATTCCGGAATCAGAAGGATCCTCGAGCTAACCCCAGTGCCTTTCTATGAGACTCTGGATTCTTCTGACTTCTTTCCTCTTCTCCCTAAGCTTTTTCTTCCTTCCTTAGGGAAAACCCAGGGTCAGTAGACTTTTTTTGTTTGAGAAAAAGGAAAGGCCCTTTGCCATCCCCTGAAAGTAACTGAATAGCCAGGCTCTTTGCCTTGACATGTTTTAGTGGGAGCAAGAGTATAAGGAATAAAGAAAAACTTCCTCTCTCCCTGAGTGGATATGGGAAGCTCCTGGGATTGTTATGAGATGGTATGGGGGTCAGAGTCTCCCCTCTTCCTTTCCACATGCTGGATGACCACAACACACCCTGGCCTGTCTCCAAGGGGAAACCAAGGACAGAGAAAGAAAACCACCAAGAATTCTTTCTTATAATAAGTAGGACCCAGTTTTGGGGAAATTCAGTGAATATAAAAATAAAAGCCATTTAAACTCCATAGTCAAAGAAGCAAATTAAATGCCTTGTCTTCTCTTACTAGTCGAGGGGCTCCATTGGCTGTGTAGGCCCTGTGCAGACCTAAGGAGAATCTTTAAGATTCTGCTGTCTTCCAAATCCCCAGGTGGCAAAGCCAATCAAAGGAAGAAACATTAAAAAAAAAAAAAAGACCGTATTTCTTTGTTTCGTTTTTTCCTGTATAAAAAAGGATCCCAGTATCAAGGTAAGGAAGGGGAGAACAAGGGACATACTTCTTGGTGTAAGGAAATAGGAGGGCAGGAGAAGGATAATCGTCAAAAGGAAGGGGGTTGTCATTAAGGCAGCCTGCAACATATTCTCTGTAAAAAGTTGGAGGAAGCATCTCTATAGCCTCAGATAAAAAGGCACACAGCGCCTTGGGGGGGGGGGGGGCACTCTCCACTCAAGTGTTCAAAGGAAGGTAAATGACAGCTTCTCTTCTCTTGGTTCTCTTGCAGCTACTCCACTGATCTCTCTGGGTTACCATCTGCCTTTTGTAGATAAGAGTGCTGCAGGGCTCGGAAGGCAGAGATTCGCTTGTGTGGGTTAAAAGTCAGCATCTCCTGAGAGGGGAGGCAAAAGTTAGAAAATTGTGAAAAAAAAATTTGAAAAAATACTTTTGCTCATCCCCAATAATACCTAGAATGGGTAACTTTCTACATTTCTCTTTGTGGATGGCCAATCACAGTAGCAAAAGACTAGCCCATCCACCAACCAAGTCTCAGGAAACAATGGTTTGGATCCTTTTTCTACTACTACATTTTTCACCCCAACCTCACCCATTCCCATGCCCAAACTTAGTACCAGCAGCAGCTGTGCTCCAGACTCCTCCATCTCAGGTATCACCGACTGCACTGGGCAGGGCCCTCTGGGGGAAAAGGCTCCTCTGGGTAGAGACACATCTCGGGGCCAATCATCTTCTGGGGGCAGCCCAATCAGGCTATGTGGAACAGAAGAACTCTGGTCAAAGGGCTCAATCTCCAGCCCATACCTCCAGGGGCAGAGCCCATTGCTACCAGGGCTCAGGAGTAGAAAAGACTCAGAATGGAAATTTTTTTCCCCTTGCCAGTCACTTACTCAAAGATTCTGCCTAACTGGTCAGCTTCAGAGTTTCCGCAGAAGAGAGGCCTAAGGTGAGAAGGGACACAGCAGTCATTTTCAAAGATAAGGCAGTAGAATGGTTATTGCTTAGTGGTTCAAACAGAGAGTATGGAAACGAGAGGGATAATAAGTTCCTAGTTCCAGGGCATTTCAGAGCTTCTGGTTATGGACAGGGTAGTCAGCGGTACTCAAGTAAAAGAATGGGCAGGGTATGAAGATGGTTTACAAGAGATCTGGGAAATTCAAAATCATTCAGGATACTTGGGTCCCATACTTTCGACGAAACATCTCTGCAAAGATACAGCCAACACTCCATAAGTCCACAGGTGTTGCATACGTAGACTGCAGAAGAACTTCTGGAGCACGGTACCAGAGTGTAACAACCTAATAGGAGTAAGAAAAATGGATTACCATAAAGCACAACTGCTTAAACTGATGTCACAAAACACATGACTTCTTGCTATGGGCAATCACTCTCCTACCCCTCAATCAGAACCCATTTTGGCTACCATCTTTCTACTGACCACGGGTGTAAGTGCCATCTGGTAGCTATAGATTCTAGCCAGGCCAAAGTCAGCCAGCTTGACTGTCCCACCACTTGTCACGAGAATGTTCTCTGGCTTCAGGTCTCGGTGAACAATGCAGTTGGCATGAAGGAAATCCAGACCTCTTAGAAACTGGCGCATCAGATCCTGGATTGGAAGGAGGAGGTACAGAGGAACTGGAAATCAGGCACCATACCTAAAATCTCAATACCTTCTACTGCAAAGGTTCCAGTGTACCTCTCTCTTATTGTGTATCCACCCCACTCACCTTGATGGTCTCCACTGGCAAGCCTGGTGGGGGTGCCTTGTCCAAATACGTCCTTAGATCTTGGTCCACATGCTCAAACACCAGAGTCACTTTGATATCCCGGTCAGTTCGGGCAGTGGCACAGACATCCATCAGCCTGGCCAGAACAAATGGTGGGTCACTCACTGATCAATCCCTTTTGGCCCCAACATGGCCTTCCTTATTTAGTTGGGGTCCTCACTTCTCTCCTGACCACCACTCCCACACCTATAGGTGTCTTTTCCCCTTTACTACCCACTCCCAACCCTCCACTTTCTCACCGGACAACATTGGGATGCTCAAAAGCCTCCAGCCGTCTCAGTAAGGCCACTTCACGAACTGTGCTGATGGGAAGGCCCCCTCCAGCACCTCCTCCATTGGGGACTCTCACGCTCTTGAGGGCCACAAAGTGGCCACTGTGGGGATCACGGGCCTTGTACACCGTCCCATAGGCACCAACACCAATCTCAGCTACTGGCTCATACCGAAGGGTAGCCATTCTCAGATCACAGGAGACCCTACAATCACAGAGACTCTTGCCACCGAAATTCCCTTCCAGAGTTCGGATGGTATGAGCCTACGGCAACAAAGTAACTCCTGTAAAAAACTTCACAGACACCACCAGTATCCCTTCCCTTCCCCAACTTTCCATGAGGCCGGCCCTTCAGACAACAATGACTAGCTCCAACCCCTTCAGCCACGTGAGGCCCTCTTTCTTTGGGACCGTCACGTCCGGCACAAGGAAGATCCCACACGACACACCCCCTGCATCGAAGCCCCTACACCCCAGACCCTACGACCACAAAGGACCAGATTATACCCTACCCCACTTCCCGCCCTCCAGCGACCCTTCAGCAACTAGCCCGCGCAGGAAGCCATGGTGGGCGACAATGGTCTCCATTCCTGGGAAGGGGCTGCACTTACTTCACCCCGTGACGGGAGCTGCGGGGGCGGCCCGTTATCGGGGCCTGGGAGCGGGTTTCTGGGGCGCCATACACTCAAGCTCGGTTCGGAGAAGCTGGACGGTACGGGCCCGACCATAGACACAGGCCGCAAGCTAGAGCGGACCCCTTACCCCCACCCTCACCATGTGACCAGCTGCCAGAGAGGCGCGCGGAAATCCAGGGGGAGGGGTGAACACCGGACGTTCGGAACATGTGACCAGCTACTCATGCGCAGAGGGGCTGGGAGTGGCTTTGCCCGGTTGGGGGGCGGTGAGGGGAAGGAGGAGAGCAACGATGGCAGCCATGTGAGCTGTTGCTATCCCACGTGACCATCCAATAGTGTTCTGAGGAGCAGAGGCGTGGTTACGAGGCAGAGCACGTGACTAGCTGCCACTACCTACGCTGGTGGTGGGGCGGGGAAGGGGGGGCGGTGTGGAGAGAAGACTGGAGGGTGGGGAGAAGAGAGAGGGTGGAAATGAAGGCGGTGCCATGGCAACCTGGGCCACCCAGATCCCAACTCCTGCAGGCCTTCTCCAGTCTCTCCTAGTCTCTTATATTGGGCGGGGGGGCCAAGAGGTGGTACTGTGGTCTTTCTCCTTCGTTGCCTTAAGAGAACGCATTCTCATTTGTGTCTTTGTTTCATTCATTCATTCATATAACATTTTTACTGAGTGCTTGCTTCCTGTGTGTATGTGAGGTTGTTTTGGATCTGTTTTTTGGTGTGTCAGTCACTAGCCCTTTAAAATAGTGATAAGGCCTTGGCCGGTTTGGCTCAGCGGTTGGAGCGTTGGCCTGCAGTCCGGAGAGACCTGGGTTCGGTTCCGCTAAGGGCATGTAACTCTGTTGCAGTTTGTTCCTGGCCCTGGTTGGGTCCTGCGGGTGGCAGCCACTCGATGTGTCCCTTTCACGTCGATGTTTCTCTCTCTCTTCCTCCCACTCTATATGAACAAAAAAATGAAAAAATGTCTTCCGGTGAGAATAAAAAATAATAATAATAAAATAAAATAAAATAGTGATAAGACTATCTGTAAAGAAGTAGCCAACAGTGTGCATATAAAATAGGGAGTAGCCCTGGCTGGTTTGCTAAGTGGTTAGAGCATCATCCTGTGGACTGCAGAGTCTCAGGGTTGATTTCTGGTCAAGGACACGTACCTGAGTTACAGGATCATCTCTGGCCCCAGTCAGGGTCATGCAGGGGGCAACCAGTTGATGTGTCTCTCTCACATGGATGTTTCTCTCTCTCCCTCCCTTCCACTCTCTCTAAAAATCAATGGAAAAATATCCTCTGGTGAGGCTTAACAAAAAATAAATAAAATAGGGAGTAGAGCCCTGGTTGGTTTGGCTCAGTGGTTTGAGCATTGGCCTGTGGACCAGAGAGTCCTGGGTTTGGTTCCCGCTAGGGGCACATACAAAAAAAAAAAAAAATAGGGAGTAGACAATGCCCATGTAAGTGCAAAACTAGGGGTAAAGGATTAATGGAAGGCAGATTAATACAGTAATCCAACAGGAAGAGGGGAAAGGTAATTATCTCCCCTCTTCCCAATTTCCAGCCCTCCCTAGGAGTGTTAAAGCAGAGAAGTTTTCAATGATTGGGAGATAGGGGTATTTGACCTTTAAGGTTCTTTCCAGCACTAAGATGTTATGATATGTGTGTGTGTATAATACATATGTCATATATAGACAGATGGGTATATATAGGAGTGAGCGTGTACAAGGAAGTTATCACAGACACTACCCCAGACCACCACATTACATAAGAATGATTTGTGCCCTTCTGTAAACCTTGTGACTCATCATTTGGGGTTATTGTGCTTCTTTTCCTCCAGTGCAAGTTTTCTTAGCTCTTGTCCCTGCCCCAAACACAAAGCTTTCCCAGATGGCCTCTGCTCACACACACAGAGGTAGGCAACAGGCAGGTTTCTCTCTGGCTTCCCTTGTCTTACTGGCTCCAACTTCTTTATTTTCTCCTACCTCTTTGAGGGGATGGCATAAGGGAAGGAAGAAATCAGTGTTCATTTGTGACTTGTCTAAAATCTGTTTGTCACTCCTTGCACCCTAACTTCTATTCTTTTTGTTGCTGTTGTTAATCCTCACCTGAGGATATTTTTTCCATTGATTTTTAGAGAAAGTGGAAGAGAGGGAGGAAGGGGGAGAGAGAGAGAAATATCAATTTGAGAGAGACACATTGGTTGGTTGCCTCCCTCACACACTCCAGCTGGGATCTAACTTGCAACCCAGGTATTTGCCCTTGACAGGGAATCAAACCTGAGGCCC